ACAGACTTGGGTCCCTTCCCACGGGTACGATCGCTTAACCTCGTCGGATTCCTTCGAGAGGGCGCCAAAAGCGAGGGATTTTGCCGGTCAGACCTCCTCCTCCTCCTCCTCCTCTCTCTCTCTCTCTCTCTCTCCCTATCTCCTCCCTCTTGTGGTCAGCTTCCGTCGCCAGTCGCCTCCTTCTGCAGCCCCATCCGCTCTCTCCCCGGTTTTTGTCACTTCTCGAGGGCCACATGAGGCGCCAGCGAACGAAGCAGACCGCTCGGTCCCTCGGATCCTCCATACCATCCGACGGCCTAGATCGGCGTGGTAAAACATCGTGCCAGAAATCCGACGGTCGTGATTTCGGGAGTCAACCGAGCTAGACGAACCACACCCGTCGGATCACGTCGCGAGCTCGGGGACACTGTCCCAGGCCAAGCTGGCAGGGCGGCCCGAGATCTCCGAACCGAGAGGGAAGGCCCGGGCGGCCGGTGCGGATCGATCGGACGGTCGAAAAATGCTTCGAGTGGGACCGGGCTCGCTCCCCTCCCTACCGACGCCTTTTTCTGGTCGCAGTCGTCGACGTGGCACGAGGTGGCGTCGTCGTCGGGGCCCACCACCCACCAGGCCACGACGTCCGCACTGCCCGCCTCGGGGATTATAAAAATAAGCAAATAAATAAATAAACACACATGATGACAATAAAAAAGAACACTAAAATAAACGGCATGTTCGTATAAAGAAGTCAATAGTTTATGGGAAGGAAATAGATGGGATAGAATAAGGTGAGTTGAGTTGCGTGTCAAAGGATCTAAGGGGCCCACGTGGACCAAATCGTGCTAATTGACTCCCTAATCCGGCTCAGAATGCCTAATAAATAGACCATGGCGAAGTAGGATTTGGCGTCATGTGCCAAAACTGATGTGATCCATGTCCACTTTATTATTATTGTTGCTATCATTGTTTACACATTTCAAAGCCCCAACCAAACTAAAGTGACAACGATTGATGGCTCCCATGCCATCATCACATGCATCACAAATCTGGACCCACACGCTTGGATAAGTCCACCTCACGTTCCTCCCACATGACCACCCCATCAACTCTCCCTTTCATATTATAATTATATATATATTCTTAGAAAAACTTCTTTTTCTTTTAATAAAATTATTATTTTTATAATATTATTTTTAATTTTTTTAATATTTTAAAATAATCCATCCTTCTTACCTTCATAATCCTCTCCTTTTTTTTATTATTTCTTTTTTTTTCCTCTGTTTTGAATGTAATATGAAATAATTATAGGAATGATTGGATAGACTATGCGATCATGATATGAGAGGCTATGATTGATAATGAGTGTACACTGATGATCGACAATGGTAAGATGCATAGATAGATCTAAAGGATATGAAAGAGAAAAAAATTTAAAAATTAAAATATTATTTTATTAATTTTTAAAAGATTATGGATAGTAAAAGAGTTGTCAATTAGAAAATAATTTTAAATAGTAAGCACCTTTTTAATTTGCTATGGAGCATGGGACTTGTTTAATAGCATAAAAATACCCTCAAACTATAAAAAAATAATGGGAAATATATGTTTTTGTAAAGGGAGAAAAATGAAGCCCTTATAGAGATGTGGAAATATAATGAAACAATGGAACTTTTGTGAGGAATTCATACTATATATATAATTATTATATTATTATTAAAAGTGAAAAGAGAGAAAGAATACAAGAAGTGAATAAGAACAACTATTCGCTGTGCATGGAAGTGATGGAAGATCATGTTGATATTCCAAGTATTCTTAATTTGAATAATGTGGTTGATATCTATTGATCATGACCTTGAATGGGGCCAAGAGGGCAATAGGTAGGACAATATATTAGAGCAGATGATTGCAATATTTTACTAGTGATATCTTGATCTTTGGATTTTAATATTCCAAATAAATAATCAACTATTTGAATATCACATTTAATAATGGAGCACTCTAACATTGACTAGTGGTGCTTAATTATTGTTTCTTATCCTTTGATATAAAATTAAGTGGCCACCAAGATAGAAGTAGCATTCATGGCCCATCACACTTAACAAGCACAAATAAGTATCAACCACATTCACAATATCTTATCTCTCTCATTTCTTAATAAGAAAGCATAATTATTCCTTCTAACCCTCGTTATAATAATCAATTAGTGATAAAAAAATAAGTCTACGACTAATGTAAAATGCACAACAAGTTTAATTAGGTTTTAACGGATGATAACATACTATCGATCGAGAGAAATATCTTATGTATTTTTTTTTAACCGATGATAGATAACATGATGGATCCATAATTAATAATTTTTTATCTTCTTTTATTATTATTATAATACAATTGAATATTTTTCCTATCATTTAAAGAATGTTTTTTAACTGTTAAATCCTTGGCAGGAAAGCCATATGACAGAGGCTCAAGCTTTTAATATATTATAATCCATAATGAATGGTCTCTTTCTTTATTGTTAGGTCATCCATCATTCACGATATTTTAATTCTCTCTCTCTCTCTCTCTCTCTCTCTCATTTCTTAATGAGAAAGCATGAACGCTTCTTTAAACACGTACTGTTAACAGTTCAATACAAAAACTGTGTCTACTGCCGAATTATATTCTTGCAAGATAAGCTTTTACTATATTGTAATCCATCAGCTACTATCTTATGTTAGCATGACCAAGTCATAGTGTAGTGACAAACTAAGCCAATACTGTAATATTATATGTAAAGATGGCAGTTGCCAAGACCACTTTGTATAGGTTATTATTCTTTGAGTTGCTATAGTTTTTAAAGTATAAGTGAGGAAGTTCAAAATTTTATAATAATTTATTAAAATTTTTATCGACTAAATTAGCTGACATCTTCGATAATATATCACTTACGTAAAGATCGAGATGAAGCCTTCCACAATGGTTTTATTATAACCATAGGTTGTCATAATTCTTAGTTTCCATTACCTTTATGTTGATACACAGTTAAACAAACCTATACGGGATGTATAAGTAAAAACTAGATAAGACACATTTTATTGTACGTATGGGAAATAAGGAGTCATGGAAGACGTCAACTCGATAAACTTTATTGCAATCAAATCATTTTATATGCTACGTTATAATTTTAATGACAAATTTATGTCAAAATAGAGTATTTTATTTATCTTTACAGTTCGACAATTATTCTCCTTTGAGTCGCTAATACGGTATCTGTGCTTTATGTCTGGAAGTCAACTCGAAATGCTGGGCTTCAAAACCCAACTTGTTGGATACAATTAATTTCGATTTTCTAAAAATTATAACATATTTATGTTTAGAACAAACTCCATCGATTATAATCTTTCATTATTATTGTGTTGGTCAAAAGAAATAACTATTTGATTTTATTAATGATTTTATTCATTCTTGGTAAATTTTGGCTCGAGAAAAATATTATGGATAAGACAATTAATACATGAAAGAAGCTCACGAGTCTATCTATATATGGGGAGTTATTATTAACGTCCTAATCTCTGATATTATGTGAACCCCAGTTGTACATAATTGTTCGAGGCATTTTGAGATAAAAATATCAAGCTACTAAGATGTCGCATGCATAAAGATTGAGATCGAAATAGATTTTTGATTAGTAACCTGATGTTGATGAGTATGAACGCTAGTAGTTAAAAAAAAATCATCTTTTCATTATGTTTAATATGAGATTTGATATCTAGTTGTAATGGGATAAAATACTTTGTAAATTATTGAAATGAGAAGTAACTCATGAATGTCTTTAACAATGTCCGATTGACTTTTTATTCATGATAAGAAAGTGGGACAATTTACAATTACATGTCTTGAATTCTTGTCCATATGGGCAAACAACATAAGTACAATTTATAATTACGATAAGAGAGTGGGCAAACAGTTGAAGGATAGTCATTTATAATACGAAAACTATGTATCATACAATGAATGACTAACGATGTTTACCCTATCAATTATAAAAAAAGATGAGTCACCTTATTATAGGTACATGTGTATTCAAATTATAAAAATAAAAAATATCTATCATTGTCGAAATCTTATTATATATATATATATAATTGTTTAAAGAATTAAAGAAATGTGTGATTTGTTTTGGTGTCCTTTTCTTCGATTATGATATTGAATGATTCGGATGGATATATCATATGACTCATCACCGAGACCGACATCATATTAAAATTCAAATTCTTAACCAAAATATCACATTTTTCTTAAGGAATCTAAAACAAAATTCACGGGTGACCCCACCATCCACCGAGAAAAGTGTCCCACTTGGAATCTCCAAATTGGGTGCACTTTTGCCATCAATTGTCACTTTCCACGCCACATCTTTAGAAAAATAAAAGTCCATCTTAGTTTGATCCCAATAAAAAAAAGGGGAAAAAGTGGCCTCTTTTCTTGCTTTTGGTTTTGGTTGATTGGGGAATATGCTCCAAACATCCTTCACTTACAAGCCTCTCTAATTCCTAATTATATATATAATATTATTTTTTTAGTTTTAAAATGTATCAAATATTTTTTTTAATAAAATATTTATATTAATTCATATATTATTACATAAAATGATAGATCTCAACTCAAGAATTCACATGTGTGATCTTTGTTGAAATATCTAAGTTGATTAATATGTCATTGTATTATTGATATCTCTTAAATTTAAATCAATATGTCATTGTAATAAAACATATTTATATTTATATATATAATAAAGAAAATTTTTAATTATTTATTCTCAAAATTAAACTCTTTTCAAGATAAGAAAACACAGATTAAATATTTTGTTTATTAGAAATGCATTGTTTTATAAACTAAAACAATTAAATAATATAAACAATATAATAAAAAATAGCGGGGGTATTCGCATGAATTTATATTTTAGTTCATTCCCCCCATTCCCATCACTCGTGTGGGTCCCTTCATATGGGTCAGAGATCGGAGGCCACATGATACGAATCACCAAGCAGGTAACGCACGCGGTGACCTGCAACGAGTACTTGAACCAGCTGCGGTACGCCGCCCGAGGCCGGGAGTTAAAACGGCGCCAGCGGGAAGGAAAGAAGGACGAGCGCCGAGCGGGTTCTGGATGGCGACGGAAGCGCCCGGCGAAGAAGGGTGCGGTGGCGGGAGTCAGTGGACGGCGGTGGCGAACTGGATCGTCGCCGGTGGGTGTCTCCGGGACGTAATCTCCTTCGACACCTATGCGAAGGACGCCCCTGCCATCCGGGCGATCTCGACGCCTATTCTCCTCCTCCGGTCCGGCCTCCTGCCCTGCGAGATCACCAGTGAGTTCACCGATCTTAATGTTGGAACTCATCTTCATCTTGGGTTATATGACGCAACCCATCGAGAATGAGAATGCCTCGACTGGGCCTTTGATGTCGTCGTGGCTTTAGTAGATGCTTATGCTTTTTGCGTCCCCTTCCTTTGGACCCTTTAAACCCTAACGAGTCGTTAGATAGAAATGGGTTTCTGCAACCGATATAAGGAAGATCTCTGTACTAGTGAACTCATCGAGGTTGGTTCTTAGATAAAATGCTTCTTTTGCTTACCTTTCGAATCGACAAAGCAATAGCTGCCCTGAAGACTTCATTTAATGTCGAAAAGCATCCTCCTTTGCATGAAGAATAACACAGGGGTGAACTCTTGCTTTGGAGAATAGCTTTGGCAAATACTTCGTCTCGGCCTCCGTGAGCGGTCGAGCCCTAAACCTATTCTCAGGCCCTGTTGATTGATAGAATAATACTACATCTTCTGTGGGTTTTTCTTGGTTCTACATCACTATTGATTGTAGGTAGATGCACTTATTATAGTTAGTATACTTTGTGTAGAGTTTGATTCATTCATTACTAAATTGCAGCATTTCCCCTCTTCTAAGTTAATTTAGCTATTATGTGCTTCGCAGTTTGTTTCAATGAAAAGTGTAAAATACGAAAGATCTATGTGCGTAGTACAGCTCGAGCATATGAGATATACCTGTGCAACGTGCACTGTCGCGTTGCTGCAAAGGAAGTGGCACCAGTAATTGCTACTAATGGGGCTTCTGCTGATTGTGAGAGTGGAAATCATGCAACTTCAGAGAAGAAAGACAAGATGTCTCTCGCTGATAGTAATTGTAACAGTGAAGATGATTGGGTAGAAGGAAAGGTACCTGATTCTCCCTTGCATGATCAGAAAACAAGTGTTCTATCAAGACAAGCTGCTGGAAATTCCAAGAAAGATTTTCAGGTAATTGTTGTTGCACATCATCCTTGCATCACTTTGTTTGTCGTGGTAATTCTTAGTTTTTAGCTTGTAATTTGCAGATATATTATGAGGCAACAGCTGATATTTCGGATGCTAGTCTGACTATGTCTGTTACACTTCGATTTCTCTCACTTCAAGCTAAGACCTATGTTCATGTATCAGAGATTTACATACATGCCGACCCTGTTGTAACCACTGAAGCAGGTACTCCTGTCCATACGGGGAAAAAATTTGGAGAAAGTTCTCACTCGGCCATGTTTATGCCCAATCCTTTGCCATTGTTCAAGTCAGCAGAGAACATGCAGTTGGGATCCAGTCAGAATATAACAGAGAAAGAAGCATCTCCAAGTACAACTGTTCGGGAAGCCCATGCAAGGCTTAAAAGTGGACAATCGACATATAATGGACAAAGTGACCTTGATCAGGTGTCAAAATCTTATGCTCGAGACAAATTTGTAGCTGCTAATCATATCGAAAGGGTTCTAGATGAACTGGTTTTAAGGGTGACAACAATAGAAGCATTCTGTTTAAGATTGGAAGAAAGCTTGCTAAAGCCATTCAATAGCATTGAGATGAGACTTCAGCAATTGGAGGAGCTATGTCATACATATGCTGAAAGAGCCCAATCTCATCGGCAAGGTGCTTGTTCAAGGATATCAGCCCCAGAATTTATATCAGATGATTCTGATTCAGAAAATAAAGACAGTTTCAACTTTTGATCTGCATCATAGGCTGATACTGTTCTTCATGACCCATCATCACCAGCTGATGTCACAGAGCACCTGTTGTTACTGGCTGCTGGTGTCATGGCCTCTGTCGAAGATGATGAGTATTTAAATTATGATGCTAGTTTAGCTACTGATTCAAACTGTAGTGAAGATAAGAAGCTGTCATCCATAGCCAATGAAGACAAATGAGTATAATAAAGATGGTTCTAGTTTAGCCTCTGATTTGAAGTTTTGAACTTTAGTGAAGGGACAAATATCTCATCCATATATTGTGCATTAGCTTCAGCATTGGGAGCACTTCCGAGCTCAAATTCCGGCCCTATTATGATGGAGCCTTAGAAGCTTTCTGCTGGTATTGAAAGTGGTTTCAATCCCTCTCCTGTCAGACTTCTTTCTAGTGGAGCTAACAGATCCACCAGCACATTGAGTGAAGTGAATGGGGAAATAACTGTTGGTGACTCATCAGTGTCTGAAGCATCTGAGATTGCCAGAAATTCTGACTGGGATAGTGGTTGTGACATATCGTGCATTTTGAAGGGATCTGCAGCTTTAGATGACTCTTCACTAGCTGCTGATACCTTGGTCTCTTCTTTGCCTTCCCCCTCAAATGGATTCAGGTAAGGCACCTGAGTTATTAAATGATGATTTTATTAGTTGTGGTGATACTGCAGAGCCAAACAATGATGGTTCCTGCAAGGATCAATGCATGCTGCTGTTCTTTCCTTGAGGAAGTTCAAAACTTCCAAGAGTAGCTCAGATGTGGCAACCATCTCATCTGACCCTTGCAACCTTAACATGAGTGAAACGTCTTCATTCATAGTTGAAGTTCCATGCGAAGGAACTGATGGGCTGTGTCCTGGAAACCATGGAACTGATACACAAACTCTGGTTGATTCTGACATCAAAGCCTTGCAAGATAAAACTAGCTTGGACTGCAAGTGTGACAAAATCGAGTACTACGTCCCCTTTGTGGAAGGTCCGGTGAGGGAAGGTGATATCCTAACACTTGTCTAGTCTCAAAGGGAGGCTGATGAAACTCCTACATAATTGGCCTATTTCTACTCGGCTACAGATTTGTCATCTTATCATTTGCCATATGGTTACCACATCTGTAGTACAAGATATTCCATTTTTGTAGAATGCATTGGGTTATTTTGCTAAAAACATTAGAAACTGCTCAATATGTTCTGTTTAATAGTGAACTACTATTAACCATGTCACAATTTACACTCCTGAAAATGGTTTCATGTTTTTTGATCATGTTTTCTCAAAGCCTTCTGAACTTGCACAACTTATTATTATTATTTTTTTGTGGAATCCAGAAGCATCAAGCATATGTTTCACAGGTTTATTTGACAGGTAACTTCTGATTCAAGTCTATCAACCCATTCACAAGTCTTCTTTTCTTGAAACAGATTTGAAGTATGACATCTTCACATAATTTCAGATGTGAACACAGTTCATGTGATTTAAAGCTGTGTTTGAAAATATATTTATATTTTAATATATATTTGAAAAAAAGACTTAAGTGAATATGTAGCATGGAATACTTTAAATATTTGATAGGTAATTGATAAAAAAATATATTTTAATATGTATTGATGTAAGTATTGTTTGGTAAAATTATTTTTTTAAATTCAATGATACATTTATTTTTAAAAACATTTTTAATTTTTAAATAAGTAAATAGATAAAATCAATGAATGAATGCATGTAATTTCACAAAAAAATTGGTCTGGTACAAATACATAATAAATATAAAATATAATTATATAAATGAATGTAAAATAAATTTTAAAATAAATAAATAAATAAAATTTTATCTTAAAAAAATATAAATCGTATTGGTTTCTCACTTGATCATATTAATAATCTTGTAATTTTAAATAATATCATACAGTACCTTGAGAATTTTAAAAAATATTAATATTTCATAAATAATGAAATACTAATATTATCATATTAACATTTATGCATTTATAATATAATATTATTAAATATCGATTTATATTTAAAATATACTATTCATATTTGAAATATGAGTAGTCATCACTGTCCTTTCCACCTTCATTTCCAACTATCATTGCCAGAATTTAAGAGTTACACGGATTATTGTGATCCCTATTCGATTATGATCTTAGTTGGACCAAGTAAAACCAGAGACATTAAACTTATCTGCTAATCACATAGCTCCTCTTAGTTGGACCAAGTAAATCCAAATAAAGTAGGGCAAGAAATTGAGGATGCTTCCCTCTCAATTGCCTATTAACCTTCGAACAAGAAACAACCGGCCGATACACATCTGGCACACAGGATTCCTTTTTTTTTTCCTTTAATTTAATCATACAGAAAGAATTTGATTTAAAAGACTCAAATGTCATTATCCAAGAAGAAAAATATTTCTTTTGGAGAAGAAGAAGAAGAGCAAGACTTGTCCTTCTTGCTGCCCTCCGTCGTTACACCTGTCTTGTGATTGCAGATGAAACTTGGCGCCCGCATGGAGCCCGCGATGGGCCCCAACTCTGCTCCAATCATGAAGGTGAGTGAGATGGTTTATCTCTGTCCACCGATTAGTCTCGGTCGACATTAGTAGTCCTCCCTGATTCCGTTTCCGCAAACGCTTACCTGTTATGCTAGTGGATGCAGATGTGGGGACCACACGGAAATGTAGGGCCTCCCTCCAATCGATTAGGTGGGTGACCGGTTTTGTCTGAACGAAAGTGACACGAAAGACCCATCCATTCATTAATCTCGGTCGCCCGAGGAGGCCGTCGACGTCCAAACTCTGTCACCAGAAGCCCCCAAGAACGAAGTTCGAAGTCTCCGTTCAACCCCACGACCCCTTCTCCACTGCGTAATCTTCTCGTCTGTTGGATTCAGATCTCTTCGACGTCCAAAATCCACCAAGAGACCGCCAAAAACGACTTCTTTGCATCGGTAGGACGTCAAAAGAAGCTTTTTTTTTCTTCTGCTGATTTCCAGAAGCGCTATTCCAACCCGCCCATTTATAGCGCTGCAGTTGGGTAGGACGGTCTCGGAGGCTTCGAAGGCCAGATAGCGCACAGCTCGGAGGGAGCGTTCCCGTGGGAAAAGTTGGGACCTTTTTGCGGGATTGGAAGAGATTTCTTGTCGGAAGCAGGGATCGGAGAGAAATGGAAGGGGGTGTATCGTTTTGGCCGGCGTTGATGCTGTCTTCGATCTTGGGTTGGGTGGTGGCCTCGTCGTTGTTCGATCTCACCAGGAGGGTGAGAGCCTTGACGCAGCCTTGGGTCACCCGCCGCGTGCTCGCGGATACCCCGTCGATACTTCGGGTGCAGGTGAATCCTAAAGATGTGTTGGATTTTCTGTCTTTGTATCGGGAAAATTTTGGGATCTTTGTTTCCTGGGGAATTTTGTTGTTTGATTTATGGCACGGGCAGCTGACGTTTTCAAGTTCTACATACAATTGTGCTCAAGGTAGGATTTTGATCCAAATTCTGAGGGTTTCTTGGTTGATTCCCAACAGAGATTCCACCACGGGTTCTTGGACAACATGTTCTCGGTGCTGTCATGCGGTGTATCGGTGCCATTTTATACAGGATTCCTTCCTATTCTTTTCTGGGTAGGTCTTGTTATTGTCTTATCCTTGTTCTCCTTTTTTTCCTTTCCCCCCTCTTGGATGAGAGAATAGATAATGAATTTTCTTGATTGTTGGTAATCCTCCAGAGCGGGCATAGCAAATTGGCCAGACAAATGACCCTGTTGATGGCTTTCTGTGACTACATAGGGAATTCCATAAAGGTATATTTGATATTAGTTATAAGCTGTTGCTCTGATGGAATAATCTGGCAAGTGATCTTTATATATTTCTTTTTCATGCTACTTCTGGTTTTTCGCTTTATTGAACCTTTTGTGGTATGAACACTTAGGATGTGGTATCAGCTCCTAGACCAAGTTGTCCACCTGTGAGAAGAGTGACCGCCACAGAGGATGAGAAGGAGAATGCCATGGAATATGGATTGCCGTCTTCACACTGTCTGAACACTGTTTGTCTGTTAGGGTAATTTCTTCTTTTTCATTGAGTGCAATGATTTGTCACTTTGTCATTTACTTTTCTTTTCTAAAACTAAGTTCAAAGATTATACGATCTCATAAGTTGACAACAACAGCTTACCTGGTATTTTTCACACTGCAGTAAAATGTAATGGAGTATCTCATAACTTTGATTAACTATTTTTTGTTCTTGCAGATATATGTTGCACTATGTACTGGCGCATTATCCGCAAAGAGATGGAATTGATATTGCCATTTGGTTTGGGCTAGTTTTCTTGTTTGTCATGCTAATTGGAGTAGGTGAGGTGACTTCCAGTTCGCAAAAGTTATTTTGGGTATACCACTAACAGCATGAAAGGATCAAGATATGAACCATATTATTTGTCTGTGAAAGAAAAAAGAGATCTTATCTTTGGTTTCCAAGTTGGATTCTTTGCATTCTTCTAGGTGTATGACTTCTGTTCTTCTTTGTTTATCCATTCAGGGAGGGTATATTTGGGCATGCATAGCTTGATTGATGTTGTGGCTGGAATAAGCTTTGGGCTTGTTATCTTTGCCTTTTGGTTGATGGTTCATGGATATGTTGATGAGTTCATCATCTCTGGGCAGAATGGTGAGCATCAAAACTCTAACGAGCATTTATTTTCCAACGTTCTAGAGTTAATTGTCCATGTTGATTTTATGTTGTATCTTCTTCTCATTTGTTTTTCAGTTACATATTTCTGGGCAAGCCTGTCTCTTCTATTGTCCTTTGCATACCCTAATCCGGAACTTCCAACCCCAAGCTTTGAGTACCACACAGCCTTTAATGGTGTTGCATTTGGAATAGTAAGCATAAACATCTCTCTTTATAATATTTACTGCTTTTTATCATGTATCATACATTTGATATGTATAATGGCTAAATTCAGTGGCATAGCAATGGAAATGTTGTTGCTGAAATATATATTTGTATATAACTGGCATAGTTAGATACAAATCTGCATGTGTGGTCAATTGGGATGTCGCATTCGATTCAGGATTTATTCCACTGTGCACTGCTTCCAGAGTTGACTCATTGTGTTAGCAATGATAAAAATTGACTTGATGACCTGAGGATGTAGAAATCTCTGCAAGCTTATCCTCCTAGTGGGCAAAATCAGAAAGATCATTACTTGTTTGAAGATCCTGTAAGTGAATCTTTGAAAGATAATGGGATAATGATATTGCACAAATTTGGCTCCTGAGAAGGCTCGGTCAGATGAAGGAAAACACAAACTTTGCTATTCTAATAAGCTACCGAAATGATCATATCTTTGGAGAGAAAAATCATGTATTATCTTTCTATCAGCCTGGCAACGAAATGGTTTCTCTTTTATTGTTCTTTGATTATGTATTCAGTAACGTCCAAGTACAAATGCTATATCTAAAACTTTTTGTCATACAGGTTACTGGAATTCAACAAACATATCTTCATTATCACCATGATAATGTTCCACGGATCTTCAGCCCCCAATTACCGGTTGCAGTATTCCTAGGACGAGTATTAGTCGGCATTCCTACCATACTTATTGTGAAGTTCTGCAGCAAGGCTATTGCTAAATGGTTGCTCCCTATTGTTTGCAACACTTTGGGTATTCCAATAGTATCATCATGCTATGTGCCATCACTGAAGGGGTCTGATAGCAAGGACAATTCTGACGGTAAGCAATCAGGTTATCTTCAGAAATTGGTGACTCTCTTCCCTCAGAAGGCATACGATGTGGACACCGGAATTAGATTTCTCCAGTATGCAGGCCTTGCATGGTCGGTGGTCGATTTGGTTCCCTCCCTCTTCTCTCATCTCAATTTGTAGCAGGTTTACCTCGCATGAACACAAGTCTTCTCTCCGTTTCATGGAATTCACAACTTCACATTTTGCCTCGAAGAGTCTGTAGATGAATTTTTTTTTTTTTTGTCATTTGGCTGTATAAATTTGTGTCTAATATGAGAATACTTGCGTTATGATCGCTTACTCGATATCGGGTGTTAGTATGGTGCCACAAATGGTTTGTATAAACAATCTTGATTAGCTGGCATGGCCCAGCTAATGTATGTATATAATCATTATGTTTCAATGACTACTTTGGAGAATATATTGGCATTATTATATCAGCTCAATTCAGACTGGTCTCAGTGACTTTGAGGTTCTACGAGTAGCCTTTTGTATGTGCTTCATGTAGAATTTGCAAAGACAAGTACAGATTAGATTCAACTCACTGTAGAAAGTAGTCTCCTGTATATGATTTTGATGTTCGACGTACAAAGCATCATCTAAAATCCAACTCAATTTACAAAGCATTACACTTTCTAAACTAAATGTCTTACCATTTCGGATGAGCAACTCTACTGGAATTCATCTATCAAGTCTTAACAGGAATATAAACATTAAAATAGGCTTTATATGAATGAATATACGTATATATATCACAGGATTGACATCTTAGGTGAGGGTCGTGAAGCCTCCAGTTGAACAAACCGTCCGAGGAAGAAGAAACTGGCAAGTTGTGCACTTACAGCGTCACAGGGGGCGCTGCCAACCTGTTTGCAGCCGTCGTCCATCTCAGCACCCCATGATAAAGACAACGAGGACGCGTCCCATTCGAACAGGTATGGTGTGTCCCGTTCTGCACATGCGAGGGATTCCTGCGAACGCTGGCGTAGCATGCGACGACAACGAAAGCTTTTGAGATTGACCAAGAAATTACAGGAAACTGCGAGCTGCCGTATTTTGACCGAGTCCATCGCAGCCGAGCAATTAAAGGGAAACCACGGGCTGCCTTATTCGGCCGTCGGAATATGGTGGGGCCCGCAAGGCGACCTGACGGGGAGTCCGAAGAAGCTCGATAAAACTAATAGTCTTATAAAGCGACAGCTTTTATAAAAAACAAAGAGAACAGCTATTCTGACTCCGACATTAATCACTTACCTCATAAATGAGACTAATTATATATTAACTATCTTTAATATTTCAGTTCCAATACTTACATATGCTATCTTTAATATTTCAATTCTTATATTTTATAAATTATGTTGATATTTATATTATTATAAAAATAAAATATATAAATCTATTTATCTTTGCATCGTCAATTTTTATCAATCGAAACATGAAAATAAAATATAAAAAAATGATGTCGATCGTACGTCGTTGTTAGGAGCCACGAGTGACTATCATAGATGATTGCTAGACAATTGTATCGACATCGATGTAGAATGACTCTTACCTCGCGTAATCGTTCTCTTCATCCATAACAATCATTAAAATTATTTTTTTACCTTATATTTTAATATTTTTATTGATAAAATCAATATTAAGTATAAAAATATAAATACTAAAAATAATTAACTATAAAAGATAATATATAATTAGCCCACGTATTAAAAGGCAGGAAGCATTATAATACCGTTGTAACACCAACACTGGTCCTCTTTCAAGGGGCATAATACCATTTTGCTTAGGAAACATTATAACAAAGGCAGGAAGCATTATAATACGAAGGTACAATGTATGTAACAATACATCCTATTATTATTATTATTATTATGACACTTCGTATTATAAAGCCCAAATGTTGTACATGCCAAATTACGATTCCAACTATTTTTCAGTTAAATGACACTGAAATAATCTACTAAATAGTTTGAGGATTTGCCTCCGTACATTGCTCCGGTACTACTACTCTCCAAAAAAATACTTATTTGGGAAACAACTTCTGTGCATTCTTGTAGAAAAGAAACCCTTGGCGAGAAATGGTTCAGGCACGGTTCCAACATAGAGAAGCAGTCACTAACACACAGACGGAAGGAAGAAACAGATCTAGAATGGTGGGCTAAATCTATGATATTGTCGAAGCAACTCCATACGTTAAAAGTTCCCTCTGCAGGATGAAAATGATTCCAGCAAAAACGAAAAGATAACCAAAAAATGGGAAAAGGGGTGGATACCAAAGAATTCCCTTGGAAATGATACACGCTGCTACACTGTCAGCCTTGCTACCTCCAACAACAATGGAACCCCATCAGAGGTACATCTTTCAACATCAATATACATCTATTCCATCCAAACCACCAAAGCCAAGCAGCTTGGAATAAAAATGTCAAACTGATCGTAGGATCCTGGGAGGGAACTGTCTCCAATCACAATGCCATTTAGCAAGCACTCAAGAATTCAACTCCTCCACTAGCTGATTTACAGGAAGTAGTCAGGAGTTCTGCGAGACACATCCGGCTCTCCTCTCCTGGGGGCTGGCTCAAACTGCAACACAAAAATGCTAGATCAACAACAGGTTTATCTTCTAGGGAGGAAAAAAATCATTATTCAATCTAGCTAAATAATGATAACTGATGTGCTTCAGCCCATAATACCAGCCTAAGTTAGTCGAAAAATTACATGGTAGCTTAAGTGAGAAGCAATTGATCACGTAGCATCCACCTCGAGCCATGCTGGGCTAAATCTTTAAGTTCACCAAAAAAAAAAAAAAAAAAGAGCCTCGCTGGGTGTACATGTCATCTACACCCAGCTTGTGCTACTAGGACACCTTGATGCTATGCAACCGATTTGAGAGGGAGCAGTTTTTCAGTTGTGCACATTATGTGTAGGAAAGTTTCACCTTGATGCACATTAATGTTCAGCATTTTTACATAACAAAAGTAATATAAGCAACATTTCTGTTAGTACAGGTGCCAATGTCTGGACAATCAACATTGAACCCTCTCAGACCTGGGCATATGTATAGCCATTGGACTTCAAATGAAAACACATTATTCAAGGTCAAGCCAGGTGTAAAGGCAGCTTAAACCCATTTGGTTTGGTGATTGGTTCTATGTTACTAGATTCTTAATTTGCCTTGGTCTGACCATGTTGACACAAACAAGGATACAAAGAAACTTCACAAGTTAGATGTATTAACAGTTTAACATGGCAAAAAACCTAGACCCTGTAAGGAAGATTTGTCACAGCTTAAAACTAATTTAGCGAACTACTGGAGGTTAGCATCACAATAAACATCCAAAAAATATATTCGGAAGAATAAAAGAATCATCCAAATTACCAAACCATCGAGAACATTGTCACAGGCAAATGATTGTGCAGATATGAATATTAACAAAGTGACAAAACTATATCCCATTGAAATTGACCAACTGTAAGTTAAAAACCAGCTACAACCACTCTAAACAAATTCATGAGTCATTTGCTTGAAAATAATAGCCGATCCAATCTTGCAATATACACATGTGAAATATGATTTTACCATTATGTCTGATAACCAATAACCAATCAGACATTCTAGAAAGAATTATCAATATCAAAAACAACAAATTGGCTTATGAATTCAAGTGCTTTGGAGCAAGGTTCGCAATATCGTACCGTACCGGTATTTCGACCTGGGCTCGGTACCGGTACGGTACGGTATACCGAGCGGTACACCTGAGGGTACCAGTACAGTAACTACTACAGTACCTCGGACCGGTAACCGTCGGTCCGCGTACCGAAAACCTGTCGGACCGGTATATACCGCCCGTACCGGGCGGTACGGCTCGGTACGGCAAACCCTGCTTTGAAGTGTACTGTACTATTATTCGGCATGTCAATCCACTCTTGTCATGTAGCAAAACACAAGTGTTTGTCTGGTTGTAGACTACAACAGATTTGTGATAACATTTTCAATCAGATTCTTTAATTCCTTCACAAAGAAGTGTTCAAATCCCTTCATAGAAGCGCTCCGATTCTCATAATGATCTTCATTTTATGTCAATATCGGATGTAATCAACAATGTGAATATTGAAAAAATGTGAACCTGTTGGTATAAAAAATAAATGAAGGCTAAATACATGCATTCGAGCATATTGCACACATTTAAATGTGTGTGTGTGTGTGTGTGTGTGTGAGAGAGAGAGAGAGAGGGAGAGAGAGATCCACCTGGATAAATGTATGGTCCTTACAGTCATCGACTTCACAGATGGAGGCCATGTTACCACACCGATAGCAATAATTTGGTGCACTAAATATAGTCACTACCTTTTGGTCCTGTTTTAGGCAATTAAAGTAATTCAAATTCTGGATTGCCAGAAGATAATGCAGAAGAATCACACTTAAAAAGACAAATGATAAAGGGTAGTTACATGTCCCCAGTTGTATCCTTCCATGACTAATTGATGAGCTCTTGCTATCAGCTTAAGGTTATTGGTGTGGTTAAACTGCTCTGATATATCCTGAAATCACCAGAAGTTTAGTAAAAAGATGACCATCAAACCAATAAGGAAGAGGAAAGTGTGTCATTATACTTGGCCAAAAGTATATCCAGCACCACGAGGAGAAATACCCCAACCACATCGATCATCAGGGTCAGACCATAAAAGATCACACATAGGGCCCTCATGCGGAACTTCTTGAACACGATCAAAGCTACGTATACTATCAAGGGTTTCAATAGATGGAGATAATCCACCATGCAGGCAAAATATTTCAGATTCAACCTGCACAGACATAATGAAAACTTTTCCAAGTCAGATAGCCAAGTTCAAGAGAGCAAGGTCTGGAGAATCAAGAAACAGCCATCAGCAATGGCTATTAATAGGCATAAACACTCAGGTACCCAAGTTGAAAAATCATGAGGAACACATTTACAGCAAAAAAAAAAAAAATCAAGCTGCATGCAAATTGGTCTTCAACAAGGGAGAAACAATGACACTAGCAAAAGAAGATAAAGAAATTAGTTGTCATATAAAGAAGACTTTCTATTTTAGTAATTTGCACTATAAAAACAATCGCAAAAGAAGAAAATATGAGCCACAGAATAAAATGCATGTCTTTCACCCAACAATTAGGTACCCATGTCACAAAAAATAATATAAATTCTGATCATAAAGAAACATTATTATTACGATATACTAACTGAAGCTTCCAACATAATTAACTCTTTACTGGTAGAAAATCATTTATATCTATACAAACCATTCCTTAGGAAGATATTCTTTTATATATTTCATTTCTCATAGTTGCACTTGCACTAGTCTACGAGAATAACAAAAATAATCATAATCGACTAGTGTTCAACAAGAACACTTCCAGAATCAGCTTACAGA